CCTGTTTCCTCCACTACTACTGCCAGGACCATCCAGGTCTTCCAGATGTTCTGGTTTCGGATAATGGCCCTCAATTTACCTCTTCTGAGTTCCAGGCTTTTCTTCAGGCCAACTTGATCTGCCATGCAACTTCGGCTCCTTTCCATCCATCCTCCAATGGAATGGCAGAAAGGATGGTACACACCATCAAAGATGCCCTCAAGAAATTGACTTACGGTAACTGGCATCACAGATTAGCTGACTTTCTTCTTGCACACTGCACTACACCTTGCACAACCACAGGGAAGAGCCCAGCTGAATTTCGCTGGGGTCGCAGACTCATTACTAAATTGGACAGGCTACACCCAGACCGGGTGGCTTCACAGATGTCGCATCCGTGGGCACCAAGGAGACTACAGTTGGGTGATCCAGTTTGGGCTAGGAACTATGCTCCTGGTCATCTGTGGGTTCCTGCTGTCATCTGTAAGATCTCTGGACCTCTATCATACAAAGTGACCTTGGGAGATGGCCGCATCCTGTGGTGTCACATTGATCAACTGTGCTGGTCGTTGTCTCCTGTGGATTCCGCCCCTGCCTCTGCTCTTGGGGGGGGAGGGGGCCCCAGGAATTAAGTCACACTTCAGATCAACATCCTGAGACACAATCTCACACTTCAGTCAACCTTATGAGACACAATCTCACTGTTCCTGGGATGTACCGCAGGTCGCTAGGGATTTCCCAGGGGAGGTGCAAGGACATCCTCAGAGTTCAGCTATTGCACTGAACAGGGAGTCATGCGTATCCTCAAGAGCTCCAAACAGGAATTCACCTGAGACGGGGTTTGCCATTGAGGCTGCTCCTGACTCTGGCACCTCGGCCACAGGGGACTGGGAGTATTAGGGCACACCTGCAATACAGGTCACGTCCAAGACTGGTCACAGGCTTGAGGGACTAAGTTCCCTGGAGCCATCCAGAGTAGTTGGGGAATCCTCAGCCAATTCAGAGGGTTGGGGAATTTCAGCTGCTCTCACAGAGCCTGGGGAAAGCTCTGGCAATTCTGCCGGCACGCCTCACCAGGGGTCACCTGCAAAAACTTGTGCATAAAAGTCCTGGTCTAATGAACCAAACAGATGGGCCGGTAGGCCAGGCGCCCTTAAGCACAAGTCCTGGTCTGCCTAGCCGGGCACGTGAGCTGACAAGCCAGGCACCCTCCCTATCCTTGTGTAGGTCACATCGGGCTAAGGCCCCTCCTAAGCATCTAGGTGAATATGTGAGGTTCTTGTCAGTACAAGGGACTTTACAGGTCTAGGTTGAGGAGATGGGACCTTTGTGGGGTAGAAGATAGACACGTGAAGTCCACATTAGAGAGTGGATTGGTTGGCTAACTTTGTTAGTAGCAGAAGGGTGTCTGCGTGTGAGCAGACTATTATTTTCTTTTGATTTATTTTATTATGATTGTAAAGAAATTGGAATTGTGTGTGTTCTATCCAGGGGGGAGGGGTGTTGTGTCCTGGGCCTGATGAGGAAACTCAGCAGGCCCAGAATTGTTGCAATGGTCCCGGGCATTCTAAAAGCTGCCCGGGACCAGACAGAGCGGCGCCAGCCTTGTGCGCATGCTCAAGGTGCGAAGAAATAAGACATCTTATTGGTTCACTCTGTCCGGGGCTCAAGCCCTATAAAAAGGCCTGCATGCCTTTTGCTTTTTGCTTGGAGTTGGAGTAGGAGAATAAAGCATCGATTAGTTGTCACCATGCGTCTTCATCATTCGCACGCGAAAGGAGAACGCAACAGTTAATATCAGACCTGGGAGCCAAGCTTGTTAACAACAGCCTTATACAATTTTCAGAGCCCAGCCTGACAGCAAAAGATTTATAGAAGGTTTCCAAGTCCAGAATGTAGAGAACACGGTCTTATAATGGCACATTTATTGTGATATGTTGCATTCATTAAAATTTTTCTGTGTGTTCATGCACCCTCAAAAGCACACATACACAGAAGTTCAATGGTGAAATATCATTAAATCATTTACGCTGTAGATTACTGTCTGCATTACAACTATTTTAAATTGCAAATTCTAGTCTGAAATTGTGGCTTGCTTGAAAATCTCAAAATTAAAATGCATTGAGTAGAAAAATATGAAGATTCATAAGTTCAGTTGTAGCCTCCCTGAGCCGTCGCCTCCCCCACCTCGACATCCTCAGGAGGATATCATTTAGCTTGCAGCTACTCTCTGACACTTTCACTTGGCACAAGCATCACATTGTAGCAAAGACTGAAGCTATTATGTGGTTGGAAATAGCTACACGGCATGCATTATTTATACTGTTCACTTCAAATGCACTAATGCATTGCCTCTAACCCCACAGACTCCTCAAACATTTGGCATATAATGGACTGTGGGTGAGGCAGCTTGAAAAGGAGCTATTGAACATCTGGTCCCCTAGGATGAAAACATTCGGGGGTGTGTCTAAGTGTGATTACCTGATGCACTTAAGACCCGTCTCACTGAGAAGTACATTCATCTAATCTAATTTCGCAAATCTTTACTGAATCAACTCAGCAACCATGTTTGATTTGTTTCCCATTTTAGCCATATTCAAGTATTTCCAAACCAGTTACATGTTACAACTGCGATGAATAGTTTTCAAACAGCATCTATATCCCTGAGTGTGGTTTACCCCAAAAATCTATCAACCTTCTCTACCTTCTCTTCTCTCATGACTTTGATGATACTGCCTGTCCTCACTTTTTAATCCAGTACCATTGTATCCACAGTTGTCTCTCCCAAGCCAAGACATTCATGCACCCCACTCATACAATTCATACTTGCACCAGCTACCAACCACCCTGAACCCTCACAGCCACGCCTAACAATCTCCCAAACTTGTTTCAAGAGATTGAGCAGTCTGTATGGTTGTTTGATGCTTTAGCAAGTTCCAACAAATATAACAACCATTCCATATTCACCCTGCTGTCATCCAGTGAGTTAAAAATCTAGATGGTTGGCAGATTGACAAAGCTCCAGGTTCCAAGTCTAACAGAATGGTGCCAACCAAGGCCAAAGTATGGAAAGCAACAAACCACAGTAGGATTCTGGTCAAAGTGAGCAAACTCTCATATGATATTCTCTCTGCTCCTTTTACCTTCCTCCTTTCCCACTCTATATACCACCGTTATTTTCTTGTTTGGCAAAAAGTATCTTGGAGGCTTAAAAAACAGTCATCAACCATTACAACCAAAACTCCACACTGGTCCAGGATAACTCCGAGGGGGCAGGGAGTTCACACCAGGCCAAAAGCCTCACTGCATCCGGGTGTAAAAGAAAACAATATGCTGAGTAATAATAATAATAATGATATTGATAATGATGATGATAATAATAATAATAATAATAATAATAATAATAATAATAATAATAATAGTAATGTTGGAAGGGACCTTGGAGGTCATGAGGTCCAACCCCCCTGCTCAGGCAGGTAACCTTATACCATTTCGGACAAATGGCTGTCCAGTTTCTTCTTAAAAACGTCCAGTGTTGGAGTGTTCACCACTTCTGGAGGCAGGTTGTTCCACTGGTTAATTGTTCTAACTGTCAGGAAGTTTCTCCTTAGGTTGCTTCTCTCCTTGATTAGTTCTAGGTTGCTTCTCTCCTTGATTAGTTTCCATCCGTTGCTTCTTGTCCTGCCTTCAGGCGCTTTGGAGAATAGCTTGACTCCCTCTTCTCTGTGGCAGCCCCTGAGATATTGGAACACTGCTATCATGTCCCCACTCGTTCTTCTCTTCATTAAACTAGACATACCCAATTCCATCAACCTTTCCTTATATGTTTTAACCTCCAGTCCCCTAATCATCTTTGTTTCTCTTCTCTGTACTCTTTCTAGAGTCTCAACACCTTTTTTACATTGTGGTGACCAAAACTGGATGCAGTATTCCAAGTGTAGCCTTACCAAGGCATTGTAAAGTGGTATTAATGCTTCACGTGATCTTGATTCTATCCCTCTGTTAAGGCAGCCTAGCACTGTGTTGGCCTTTTTGGCAGCTGCAGAACACTGCTGGCTCATATTTAAATGATTGTCCACTAGGACTCCGAGATCCCTCTCACAGTTACTACTATTGAGCAAGGTAGCCCCTATACTATACCTATACATTTGGTTTTTCTTGCCTAAATGTAGAACCTTACTTTTTTCACTATTGATTTTCATTTTGTTAGATAGTGCCCAGTGTTCAAATCTGTCCAGAGTCTCCTGTATCCTAAGCCTGTCTTCTGGAGTGTCGGCTATTCCTGCCAGCTTGGTGTTGTCTGCAAATTTGATGAGTTCCCCATCTATCCCTCATCCAAATCATTGGTGAAGATGTTGAAGAGCACTCTGCCCAGAACAAAGCCCTGGGGCACCCCACTACACACTTCTCTCCATGTAGATGTGGTTCCATTGAGGACCACATGCTGAGTACTGTCGGTCAGCCAGCTACGGATCCATCTGGTGGTGATGCTGTCTAACCTGTATTTTTCTATCTTATCAAGTAGTAGGTTGTGATTTTATCAAATGCCTTACTGAAGTCCAAGTAAATTATATCTACAGCATTCCTCTGGTTCACTAATTTTGTCGCTTGGTCAAAGAATGCAATAAGGCGGCTCAAAAAGGATTTTTTTACAAATTTGGACAGACTTATTTCAAAATTCATATGGCAAGGGAAACGACCAAGAATTAGACTAAAACTATTACAAGATGCTAGAGAAAGAGGAGGATTTGGCCTACCAGACTGGAGAAAGTACTATCAGGCAGCGGCATTGGTTTGGCTAAGTGAGTAGATGCATCTCAAAAATACAAGATTACTGGCACTAGAAGGTCATGATCTACAGACAGGGTGGCACGCTATTTTATGGGAAGAAAGACATTTAGCCCAGCAGTATTTCTGGAAGCATTATATTAGGAGAGCGTTATTGGATATTTGGAAAAAAATAAAAAGAAATAATTATATGAAAATTCCCAATTGGGTGTCTACATTAGAAATGTTCATACATCCAAATTTGATGAAACGAGGGGGTGCTGCCACCTATAAAGACATTTTGAATGAGAAAGGAGAATTAAAAATGAGAAATACTTTAAAGGAAGAAGGAATCGAACTGGAATGGTGGGCGTATCTTCAAATTCAATCCAAATTCAATCCAAAAAGGAACATAAAGCAAGGGCATAAAGCAAGAATCTTCATTTCATCTCTGTTAGTGAGAATTATATCCAAAATGGCTAATCCCCTAGTTTCCTTCTCTACTTTTTGGGAAACAAAGTTGTCTGCTAGATTTGTCAGGAATCTGTTTGATCTTCCACTTGGCACAGAGTTTGTCTCCCAGTTGATGTCAGGGTAGTTAAAGTCCCCCATTACTATTGTGATGTGCTTCCTACATACCTTAGTTAGCTGACTACCAAAAAGTTCATCTATTTCCTCTGTCTGGTTGGGTGGCCTATAGTATACACCTATGACAATGTCATTCCCCCCCTTTTATATTGACCCATAGACTTTTATATTGACCAATAGACTTCTTTACATTGCATCAGTCTCCATGTTGACTTCCACAATAGCTGCTGGATCCCACATCTCTGCTTGGTCTCCACTGTCTCCACCAGATCTCACCAAGAGTGGGGTTGCAACCAAAGCTACGTGGATCCCAGGCTTTCCAGGTGATGCCATTCTGGTAATTCCCAAACCTCCCATTCATTACATAACCAGCCAAGCAATCTTGAATCCCACATAGCTGGCACAAACTTCTAGACACCATTTTTCTATGCTTAATATCCATGAGTAAATCATCAGAGTTAGTGAAATAAGGAAATAAGCTTTTAATAAAGTTTATGGATGGAGTATGCGAAGGCTTAAACAAGACCAGCCATGGTTTTAATTAATGGAGTAATGATGACATCTTGAATTTTGAGAGGACATTGTGGAGATAATAGAAATTAAAGCATAACAAACAAATCTTGATATTCCAATTGATTCCTAGTCCCAAAGAGTAAAACGATACCCTTTTTTTCTAAACTATCTTTTCTTATTTTGCTCTTGCAATTTGTTCTGTATGGTAAATATACATTAACTGGTTCTGGCAGTCTCAGAGTGGAGTTAGCTTTCTAATAAATACATCCTTAAGTATTAGTGTTTTTATACTCCATTCTTCATGTTTCTTCCTATACTTTTAATATTTTATTTATATGAATAGCAGTTTTAACTAGATTGTATTCATAAGGTAAGAAAAAATGTAAGGATTGAAGGTTCTAAAATTCTCTCATTCAGATTCCTTACCAATTTCCCACTCTTTAAGGACCTTGTAGTTTATTATATACTACAGCAGGAAATGGTTTATTTAGCTTACAAAAGAAAAGTTTCTTTGTATAAGACAGAAATATACTGTGCTTGTAAATGAACAAGCCCATGGAATATATGTAATGTTCTTTGCCGCCCCCATGTATTTCCTTTATTGTAGCCAATGACATAAATCAAATGAACATCAGATATAGAACAAACAACAACAAATAAAGGGCACTGAGAGAAAGGTTTTGCATTTAAATGTAAAGGAAGCATTATAATAGAGAGGGAAAAAAGAAGCCACCTTAGAGCTAATACAAATAATAAGTTTTGTAAAGTTTTCGTCCTACCTAGCATTTCTGTAGCAAGTAAAGATTTCATCTAAATGGTGATATGCAAGATCAACCCCATTTGTATGTGTGATATTGTAACCAACAGATGAAGGATATAAAATTTAATTGTAATGTCACATTGTACATTCTGCCATTTGCCCCCCCCCAATCACCATTCTCTAATCCCCTGTAGTTGCCCATGACTACTCCTCTCTGCAGTAAAACATTTAAAGGTCAGTTAGGTCTAGTGGTTAAAGTACCAGGCTAGACAACAGAAGATGGTGAGTTCTAGTCCTGCCTTACGCATGAAGGCTGGCTGGTTTATTGTTATGGGGAAATAATTTTGAGTTATTTATAAAAAAATAATAAAGACGGGATTAAAAAATCTAAAAGAAAAAGAAAACCATTCTAACAAAATCTTACATCATTGCTTACAAATCTAATGATCAATTAAGGTGGGTATAAGCCAAGTATTCCAGCTGAGCTATTCAAAATCTTAAAAGAAGATGCAGTAAAAGTGCTACACTCAATTTGCCAGCAAATTTGGAAAACTCAACAGTGGCCACAGGATTGGAAAAGGTCAGTTTACATCCCAAGTCCAAAGAAAGGCAATGCCAAAGAATGTTCAAACTATCGCACCATTGCACTCATTTCACATGCTAGTAAAGTTATGCTTAAAATCCTACAAGCTAGACTCCAGCATTATGTGGATCGAGAACTACCAGAAGTACAGGCAGGATTTCGAAGAGGCAGAGGAACTAGAGATCAAATTGCCAACATACGCTGGATCATGGAGAAAGCTAGGGAGTTCCAGAACAACATCTACTTCTGCTTCATTGACTATGCAAAAGCCTTTGATTGTGTGGATCACAACAAATTGTGGCAAGTCCTTAAAGAGATGGGAGTACCAGACCATCTCATTTGTCTCTTTAGAAACCTATATGTGGGTCAAGAATCAACAGTGAGAACCGAACACGGAACCACTGATTGGTTCAAAATTGGAAAAGGAGTCCGGCAAGGCTGTATACTGTCGCCCTCCTATTTAACTTATATGCAGAGCACATCATGAGAAAGGCAGGGCTAGATGAATCAAAAGTTGGAATTAAGATTGCCGGGAGAAATATCAACAACCTAAGATATGCAGATGATACCACTCTAATGGCAGAAAGTGAAGAGGAACTAAAGAGACTCTTGATGCGGGTGAAGAAAGAGAGTGCAAAAGTTGGCTTGAAACTCAACATTAAGAAAACCAAAATCATGGCATCCGGCCCTCTCAATTCCTGGCAAATAGATGGGGAAGAAATGGAGTAGTGACAGATTTTATTTTTCTGGGCTCCAAGATCACCTCAGATGGGGACTGCAGCCAAGAAATTAAAAGACGCTTGCTCCTGGGGAGGAAAGCTATGGCAAATCTAGACAGCATACTAAAAAGCAGAGACATCACCCTGTCAACAAAAGTGCGTATAGTCCAGGCCATGGTTTTCCCAGTTGCAATGTATGGCTGTGAAAGTTGGACCATAAGAAAGGCTGAGCGCCAAAGAATTGAGGCCTTTGAACTATGGTGCTGGAGAAGACTCCTGCGCGTCCCTTGGACTGCAAGGCGTTCAAACCGGTCAGTCCTAGAAGAGATCAACCCCGACTGCTCTTTAGAAGGCCAGATTCTGAAGTTGAAACTCAAATACTTTGGCCACCTAATGAGAAGGAAGGACTCACTGGAGAAGGGCCTTATGCTGGGAAAGATTGAGGGCAATAGAAGAAGGGGACGACAGAGAATGAGATGGCTGGATGGAGTCACTGAAGCATTAGGTGTGAATTTAAATGGACTCCAGAAGATGGTAGAGGACAGGAAGACCTGGAGGAATGTTGTCCATGGGGTCGCGATGGGTCGGACACGACTTCGCAATTAACAACAACAAGCCAAGGGAGAATTTTATTTGATAATTCCCATAAGAAGAATATATAGCTATAATAGTTTATCATAAATTTATTTGGAGGCATTTAAAAATTGCTAAAGGGAATTTGTAGGCATTTTAGAAGGCCAGATCCTGAAGTTGGCCACCTAATGAGAAGGAAGGACTCAGTGGAAAAGAGCCTAATGCTGGGAAAGATTGAGGGCAATAACAGAAGGGGACGACAGAGAATGAGGTGGCTGGATGGAGTCACTGAAGCAGTAGGTTGAGCTTAAATGGACTCCAGAAGATGGTAGGGGACAGGAAGGCCTGGAGGAATGTTGTCCATGGGGTCGCAATGGGTCGGACACGACTTCACAGCTAACAACATGCATTTTAAAAACTGCAGATAGGAATGAGAGAATAAAAGAAAGACTATGAAATGAGGCTGTAATGGTGAAGCTATTCACTAGCCCAATAGAAGACTGAATGACAAGAAGATCAAGTGGAGATACTCCAAACTGGAACCTGTCAGAAAATAATACTGTCAAGCTACAAATCCTTCTCTCTTTAGGACTACTTCTAGCTTGCCAACAGTAGGGGGGGAGGGGAGAGTTTTGGGTCCACAGGTTTTCCTTATCAATGTGAGAGCGGAAGCTATTGAAGAATTGTTTTGGCAACCAAAGTTTCTTCTCATAATAACTGCTGGAAGATATATTGGACAATGGGACCTGAACTGTCAGAGAGGGGAGGGAAAGTTTCACTCTTTTAATTAACTGCTTCCCATCATTTCCTCAGCGCTAGTTTCCTATCTTACCAGTTTGCTAATGCCTAAGGAAGGTTACATTATAGATCGTAATAACTCTGGTGTTTTACTTCGTTGGGCTTCTCAACATGGAAAGAAACAGAACCCAGATTAGAAAAGAAAATTCCTTTTCCTCAGGACACTGGCCATCTCAATATGTGACATCAGGAGAGATTTCAGGAGGATGCTAGTTTTGTTCGTATTCAGTTGTAACCTGGTGTAGTATTTTTACTTCCTTTATTTACATAAAATTCATATTCCGGGAATCTTATTCACTTAAAATATAACAACCCTGCATTCATCTTTTTTTTTGTCACAAGACTGTCTTGATTATAGAAAGAATGATGTCAAATTCCATCTCCAATCAATCTGGCATCTGCTGTTTACATTTATTTTAGGAGCAGATCTGGCTTATTTTAAACACTCAGGCAAAGATACATTTAATGTTGCTTAATTTTTTAAAAAGGGGATGAATCATCAATATAATTTTGTTCAGTGATACATCAAACAATGAAAAGACAAAGAGGGCAGAAATTATGTAAGAAAATAAAAAGATTACATATATAGTTTTTTTCACTACAGGTAACCAGGATTTTCACTTCATTGGGACCTACATGCCAACAACAGCTAGGATGCAGTAGATTATTCCATAATAGTAGTTTACCAGCAAAAGGGGCATTTATTGATTGATTTACACAATCTTAACTGAGTCCCAAAATAATTTTTCACTCAACCTGATAAATCAGTTTTCTGAAATGAATTCACCCAAATTCAGTTAAGGCATAAATCACTGATAAATTATCGGAGCTTTTTTTATGATAGGATAGTGCTCAACTTTATCAAAAAAGTCACATCACATAATTTTATTGCTTAGAAATTAAGAATAGGAATAATGTCCTATTATATCAGACATATGGCGGCATGGTGGCTCAATGGTCAAGACGCTGGGTTAGTTGGCTGGAAAACTAGCAGATCAGGTTCAAGACCTAAGTGCCATGAGATAGGGTGAGCTCCCATCCTCGCCCAAGCTCCTGCCAATCTAGCAGTTTGAAATCAAGCAAATACAAGTAGATAAATAAATGCTACTTCAGTAGCAATGCAACAGTGCTCCATGACGTTATGCTGGCCACGTGATCATGGAAATATCTTCAGACAGCGCTGATTCAGTGTCCTTGAAATGATGAAAAATGCACCGTATAGTTGGCAACAACTAGTGGAGCAAAAATCCACCTGTATCATTTGCATGGTGCCATGAATCTACCCCAAACCTGCCACTGTTTTTAACATTGGGGTGGGCAATTAGTTTTCTCAAGGGGCCACATATGAAACTGGGACTGTTATGGTGGGCTGAACCAATAAGGCTGC